TTGGGTGCGAACTGCATTACATCAACTATAACCTGGTGACTTGCAGCAATCAGAATGGAACAACTATCTGTTTAGTTATTATATTTAGTACTAATGTTTCATTTGTAAGTTCCATAATTTAGCAATATTGTGTACCACTACATACTAATTACTCTGAGATGTGTAGTAGCTATGAGTTAGAGAGATAAACATTCCACAGTTTGATTTTCATTCTCTTGCAAAGTGACAATTAAGCTTATTGGGTAATGACAAACAAAATGTCACATCTTTTAATTCAGATAATTGTATGGTATGTACTAGATACGTCAGTTCGATCCACAAATGTAGTATATTTCCCAGAATTGTTTTCCTATGGGCTCGTACGGTAATATATTAACTCAATCACACATTTCTGTTTAAAGTAATTTTAGTTCCTAATGGAACTAGACAAACAAATCATTATGACATAGCTACAAAGACGAAATACTCTCGCAAAACGAATCTATGTATTATTGGTCAGCTACAAGTTCAAACGTGGTTGAACATTAACACTGCAAAGATTTAGGTCTTGTGGTATGTTAATTAATTAAGCCAACAAGACTAGCAGTGGTAAGAATTCTTTATTGTCAAGTGTTATAAACTTGGTAAACACCATTTCATAACGTTTTTTCGCATAAATTCAATGCAAAACTAACTGACTGTACTGACAACTTATGGAAACAATGTTCATCAGTGCCAGTGCTGATAAATTCATCAGGCCTATATATTATTAGTTGACATGGTCGGTGATAGTTATTTCGTTCTCAGCAATAAACTTGGAGGCAAACTACGCTCGAGAAATGCTGTAGTTTGCAGCGGCCTAGTCATATTAAAAAGCCAACGTTGTTGATTTACTATTTTTGATTTGATATTATTCATTTTAGTTTTTGTCAATTAAGGATACAAGACTTGACATGCAAACAAGACACTCGAGTTTACACCCAAATGCCATAAACCCAACCCAATTATTTAGAATTTGTACATTGTGTGTTCGTGCAATAATTGGTCGTGCGTAGAGCATAGTTAGTACACATCTCGACAAATGTTAGCAGATCCACCTATTCGTGCATCGTGTAAACTAAGACGTAGGATTTCACAAATTCGGAATTCTTATAATACATAATGAATACATTTACCTACCTTCGTAGTATGTGATTTTCCCAACTACTAAGTATTTCTACCTCTCAGTGTGACTATTAGCGAAAACCTCTCAGAATTTATAGGAATCAAACCACAGGGGTACCACCCCTAAATACAAGCCAAGTGTTGTCTTGAATGTTTTACATAGTGTAGTGTATTTTGTGGTACACTATTCGTCGTAACTCGGCGTTGATATATAAGGTAAAATATATTAAATACCGGGCAATATTTAAAGGTGAAATTGAAATCAGTGTGTTTATTAGAAATATAATTACAATGCATAAATTTAACAAACATGATTTAATGCATTATTATTTACATCGCAGCCTCTTCTAACAGATTCAGTGGATGTAACTGAAAGTGTGTACCCCGATAATATGCAGTATTGTTTTGCAGCATGTTCAATAACTCCTCGAGAACTGTGTTATTTGGAGAACCATCCGTTTAATGCACTGATATAAACACTCAAGGAAAATCACTTCGCAAAATGTAGAAAATAGCTTTCAATAGAGACAATCGTGGAAAGGAGTTTTCCAACTTGTTTCTACCATATTGCTTCAATGAATGAGCAGCGGAAAAAAACACGAGTGTGGCATTGTGAAACAGACGCATATCAATCTGTTTTACTAAAACCAACAGATAGTCTTTTTTAAATACCAAGGTCAAGTATCATGGAAAGAAGGTTTCCAAATTGTCCTCACCGTATTGCTTCAATGAATGAGCAACGGAAGAACACAAGTGTGTCATTGTGAAACACGCGCATAATAAGGTCAAACATCGCGAATAACTATGACGAAAAGTATACTCGTTGAAGACATATTCTTGGTTTTGAATATCCTTTACGGGAAAGAACTTTCCACCAACTGGGACGCCATCACATTAGTGCCCACATGTTGTAGACCATTTCACTTGTGGTCATAATACCATGAGTAAGTGTTAACAAGATACCACAAATCACGGTCTTTTTTCTATAAAGGTAAATCCTATCTACTTCATTTATTGTATTGTATTTTTGAATAACATCGACTTTCCACAGATATCAGAGTGTACTTGTCGAATTTGATATATCTTGAGATTTATAGAATTGAACCATCGAACTTAGGATCAGAGATAAATATACTCATGGTCAGTTTCATGCCAAATAATCGTTTTAAGTCCCTCCTCCAATTCTTTGTCTGGAAACTGTACCAATATGATTTTCTATGATAAACTCCAATTTGGGAGTATTTGAGTTCTACGCTAATCTGCCACGCTTAGTTGTGCATACTTGCTATCATTTTGTCCAACTGTCACAGTGTTTTCTTTTTAATTATACAATTCTAGCCATTAAAGTACACAACTGATTACAGTATCATCGCATTTAATATGCTATTGGGAATACATCACCTTATCCGAAATAATGTATCATACATTTTTTGAATAAGCAGTGTATATCTCTTGTCCCTTTATCTCGACTTTACAATTACTGGAGTACTTTTTCTATACTAAAAGTTCTTACAATTAAATGAATGAGAAGTAAATTGCTCTCAGACTCTATATACACATTGAAATGGGACGTGCCGTCTATTATTATTTCCATTGTTTCGTCAGATAATCACGGTAGAAACTAGATTATTTGAAGCTAAAACATATGTAGTCACAGTGTTTTCAATTTTATAATTATTATTGCATTTGAATGCATAACTCGCAATATGATTGCCGATGTTCATAAGGCATTCTATATCAAACAATCTGTTGTGCATTGAGTGTTGTCCACGGCGATCGGATTGAATCTATTTCCATTTAAGAGTTGTATTACGTTGTTTCCTGATGTTGATGCTCAGATTCATGTCATATGGTAAAGCTATGACATCATAATAGCATCATAACGGTAATTTATAACTCA